GGTTGGATGTTGAATGTTTATTACTCTTTTTTTTTTAATTTTTAAAACTAATAAGAGTTAATCTAAAAAAAGAAGAAGAATAAGAGTTAATTTAAGAGTGGGGTTTTTTATTTTATTTAATTAGTATTAGCTTTTGTCAATGTTGATTGTTTGTGGATGTAATATTAATCTACATAGCAAATAAAGTATATAAAAATTTGTTTTTTATTGTCGTGACCCCACCTTGTCAGTGTCCCCATTTTTTTGAAATCACTATGTTCCGTGTCCACATCCACATTCGCATCTATGTCTGTGCTTATTAGGTTAGCGCACTTAATGGGAACCCATGGCATGAAATCTGGCATCTAGATTGTAGGGTTTTGATGATGAACATGAAACTAACAAATGGCCTGGCATGTGTGAGTACCTCAGTAGTAACTACACCACTACCACCTCCACTTCACCCACTCCTTACCTACTACACACTCACCCTCTTCTATATATAGGAATCATGAATCATTGTAATAAATAAACAATTATCAATATCAATCAATAATACAATCAATATCTATACAATTCTCTATTTCTCTTTATACATTAAATTTTACAGCGCACTTAATGGGAACCCATGGCATGAAATCTGGCATCTAGATTGTAGGGTTTTGATGATGAACATGAAACTAACAAATGGCCTGGCATGAGTGAGTACCTCAGTAGTAATGTGCATTTAGGTGATAGTGAGGTGAGGTCTAAGGTTCAAGTCAATGGAGTGGTGTTGGCCTGCTATAGTAATCTAACTCTACTAAGTACAAACCTACTAACATCCTGCCAAAAAACAAAAAAAAAGAGTGAGTACCTCAGTAGCCCAGATGTTGATACAGGATACATACATGATACAACATGTATGCTGATGTTGATACGTACTTGGTTTGTGGTTGCCACACATAATGTCAAATTTTTGTAAAAAGGAATGCTGTATACCAGCTGTGTCAGGGAGTGTTTCAGATGTGGCGTAAAGTTTCCAAAATAATGAAATTTTATTTTGAATTTTTACGCATCCACGGGGATTACATGTCTTGGTTTGTCCGCAAAGTTCTGGTTCTGACCATGTTTTTCAGTGGACAACTGAGTATCTCTTTTTATTTTTTTAATTAATTAATTTATTTTTTTCTTTCTGAAAGTAAAGAAGGATTTGTTTTTATTGAGAAAATTTTAACACACAAAAGTTGTGGTCAACCTATAATAAGTCTTTTATTGTCTGCCTTGAGTCCCCGAGCAAATAGTGCTTCCAATCATGATAGACTTTAGATTTTAATTTTATGACTGGAGGGGCACTGTCTCCCTTTTCTTTTTCTTCTTTTCATCTTATAAGTTTGCTTCTTTTTTAACAAGTGGAGCAGTTGTATAACTGATTTAGTTGTTATGTTGGCCATGCTGTTATCTTAGTAGATAAACTGTTGAATTGTGCCAATCTTGCATACCTCTGAAGTTTGTCAACCTATTTTATTGCAACTGGATTTGCAATGAAATCATTCCCTTTTGTGGCTATTGTAACTATATAATTGATTTTTATTTTTAATTGTCAGTGCACTGGTCGGTCTCTTTTTCCCTGCTGTGACGGGAATTATGGCAGGTTCAAATCGGTCTTCCTCTCTAAAAGACACTCAGCGTTCTATCCCCATTGGAACACTCGCTGCAACTGTCACAACAACTGGTTTATATTTTATTTCTGTGTTGTTATTTGGAGCTCTTGCAACCAGAGAGAAGCTTTTGACTGACAGGTATTCCTTTTGTATGGTTCATTAAATTGTTTCCTCATGGCAGGCATAGCTGTGTCTTTCATTTATCTCTAATGGTAGCATAGATGTTCTTGAGACATTTTTGAGTTATTTCAATATTTTACAAGTAACACAGTTCCTTGTGTTATTTGATGATATTCCTTAGTTTCCTTTCTTGGGGAGGGGAAGGGGGTTGGTTCCTTTCAAAACTTAATTTTAGAAGGCTCAACCAGAGTCAAATTATTGGGGACACAGCCCATAGGCTGCTGGGCTATACCACGGGGACTTGGTGATAATATTACAAGTTTAGATTGCTTTAACTGCAATCTGTCAAACATGGTTTGTTTCTATATTAAGAAAACAAATGGTTTTTCTTTGTTTTTCTTAATTAAATATTATAGTAATGTTCCAGAAATCAAAAACGTTTTTGGATATATAGATTTTGTTTTTTTTGGGGGGGGGGGGGGGGATTTGGGGGGGGGTGAAGATGGATAGGCGTTTGTTTACTTTTGTATACTGGTGTCTAATATTAAATGCTATTTTGTTATCACTTGAATGAGTACTGTGACCTGCCAGACAAAGGAAATTATAGTGTGTTCTATCTATCTGAACCTTAAATAGCATTTGACTGCTAGTATTTTGAGTGTTTCTGCGTGTAAACTGTCTTTTCTATTATCGGAGAATTGTGTTGTTGAGATTTATGATTCAATAATCTACAGTCTGATGTATTTAGATATAAACTTTAGGAAACATGTTATCATAAAAGCAAGTACTTTATAATTTAGTCACCTTGTTGCTACCTTGGATGGAAAGCAGAAATTTGTTGGTAAGTCCTGACATCTGTAGGTATGTATATAGGTTTTTTCTTTATTTGACTTCTGTATTGTTGAAGATATACAATTTTCCTCATGTCTGGATTCATTGTAGAACCATATGATTAGATTACCTTAATGGTTACTATATAAACTTTTTTAACCTTGTAACATTTAATTATTATTCTGATCGTACTTCCCATTTCCTTGTTTCTATTTAGCTAAGAATATTTGTTCATGCTTGATTTACAAGAGAAAAATCCATATATCTGATTTTGAAGATACTGATAATTTGAAAGATTCAGTGGTTAAATCTGTGTCAATCCATGTGTCAGATTTAATTAGAAAAGGATGGTTGTATGAATTTCGTTTGATTAACTTCTGTCATTTTAGGGCGTAACTGGACTACTTATGCAGGCTACTGACAGCTACGGTTGCTTGGCCATTCCCGGCAATCATTTACATTGGAATTATTCTTTCAACTTTGGGCGCAGCACTTCAGAGCTTGACAGGTGCCCCGCGTCTGCTTGCAGCAATAGCCAATGATGACATCCTACCTGTTCTTAACTACTTCAAGGTTCCAGATGGGATTGAGCCTTATGTTGCTACCCTCTTTACTGCTTTCATATGTATTGGATGTGTCATAATTGGGAATCTGGATCTTATCACACCGACCGTTACTATGTTTTTCCTCCTATGTTATACGGGTGTGAACTTGTCTTGCTTCCTTCTGGATCTTTTAGATGCTCCCAGCTGGCGTCCCCGGTGGAAATTTCACCACTGGAGCCTCTCTCTTCTTGGAGCCTCACTTTGTATAGGTATGCTTCATTGTCATCTCTGGTTTCATTTATTTCGTTTTATTTTTAATTTGGCCAAGGAAATCTTTTAGATGTATTGATTGGAGAGAATCTAGATGTCAGTGCATCATGAAAATATTAGATTTGAAAAAGAGGAGAAATTATATTTAGAACTAAATTTCTCACATGCTTTCACTATATTGTCTTCCCTTGTTGTTCTCCATGGTAATTAAAGAAGGAATAGTAATTTCCTTTGCATTAACTTTTCCTTATCCCTCACCATATTTGTGAACCGAATGTGGTACCCTGAGAATGGATCACATACTGGTAGTCCCACAGCCATCCAAATTTCTCAACAATTGACATAAAAAATCTAAATATCATTATCAGGGTGAGCTTAAAAAGGTTGGATCTTATTTAGGAAAAGTTGGTCAACAAGATGGATAGGAAAAGTGGTTCAATCCCACATTTCTGTTTCAATTTTTCTTGTGTTCTTTTTATGTACAAATCATTATAGGGATTGATTAGTAAACCTATAAAATAAAAAAACAAAGAAGTTTAGGCTTGTTTCTCATGTAATGGTGGCAATGACAAGCTAAAGGAATTACTCATTAGCTATGTTACATGGACTCTTTGGAATTTCGAAGGTACCCGTGTCGACACGACACGACACGGGTACGGGTGCGGGATACAGCTCCTTAGAAACGGATACGGCAGAAGAATCGAAAGAGGAGAGAGCAAGGAGAGAACCTGGCCTTCGACTTCAATCGGTTGCGGAGCATCGATCGATCTGCGAAGCTTGATCTGTGAAGTCGATGTACTGTGCTCCGTCATCTTCCCCTTTATCTCGATCTCGGACTCTCTTCGTCGCTTGATCTGCGAAGTCTCTTCGTCTCTCTTTCTCTCTCTCTCTCTCTCTCTTCTTTTTTTGATCAGTCTGTCTCCGACTTTTCTTTTTAATATAATTTGAATTATATATAATATAAACTATATTAATATAATATTATTCACATACATATTATATAATATTATTTATTCAAAAAAATATTATATAATATAATATATCATAAATAACATAACTTTTATGTCTAAAATTAAAATAATTTATTTTGTCATATATAATATAATTTATTTTATGTCTAAAATAATGTTTATAATTTTTATTTATTATTTATTTATTATTTTTTTAATAAAATTTGTTATTCCTTAAACTTTTTAAACTCATCTTCATATAATAAATATATTTTAAAAATAACTATTTAACGTATCCCCATACTCGTATCCTAATTTGGATCCGTATCCACGTATCCTTAATTTTTAATTTTAAAGTGTCCGACCCTTAGATGCACACTTGTACCCGATACCCGCACCCGAGTCCGTGTAAGGTAGTTCATTAGTCATTATATGCTAGGTTTATCTTGCACTGATTGCCTATATAGGTGTTCGTGTGTGCCTGTGTTCATTTCATGCATTTCTGAAATACAGTCCGCTGTTGTTTTTGTTTTTCTTGCAGTGATTATGTTCTTGATTTCTTGGTCATTCACTGTGGTCTCTCTAGCTCTCGCCAGTCTCATATATTATTATGTGAGCCTTAAGGGAAAAGCTGGGGACTGGGGTGATGGCTTCAAGAGTGCATATTTTCAACTAGCACTCCGTAGTCTTCGATCTTTAGGAGGTGCGTATACTTGTCCTAAATGGTAATATTGCATATTCTTCTTTTGATAAATGCTTGAATAGATTATAGGTTTGGTATAGTGCTTTTTTTTTTTTCTCTCTCTCTCTCTCTAATAGCATCATTCTCATATTGGATGAAATTTTTTCCAAAGCAATTCCACGTGCATAACCTTGATTCAGCAGTGCTTAGTTATGACTAATCAGATGTTTTAACCTCTGTATGTGAATGCAGCAAACCAGGTCCACCCAAAAAACTGGTACCCCATTCCCCTCGTATTCTGCCGGCCATGGGGCAAGCTACCCGAGAACGTACCCTGCCATCCCAAACTCGCTGACTTTGCCAACTGCATGAAGAAAAAGGGCCGTGGAATGTCCATCTTCGTATCTATATTAGACGGAGACTACCATGAATGTGCTGAAGATGCCAAGGCTGCTTGCAAGCAGCTTAGTACCTACATTGACTACAAAAGGTGTGAAGGCGTAGCCGAGATCGTTGTAGCCCCCAGTATGTCCCACGGCTTCCGCGGCATCGTCCAAACCATGGGTCTCGGGAATCTCAAGCCCAATATCGTCGTGATGCGGTACCCTGAAATATGGCGTCGTGAAAACCTAACTGAAATCCCGGCCACATTTGTAGGGATAATCAACGACTGCATTGTTGCAAACAAGGCGGTTGTTATTGTCAAGGGCCTCGATGAGTGGCCTAATGAGTATCAGAGGCAATATGGCACGATTGATTTGTATTGGATTGTAAGGGATGGAGGTCTCATGCTCCTGCTCTCCCAACTTCTCCTCACTAAGGAGAGTTTTGAGAGCTGTAAAATTCAGGTCTTCTGCATTGCTGAGGAGGACTCTGACGCAGAGGGGCTCAAAGCTGACGTCAAAAAGTTCCTATACGATCTTAGAATGCAAGCCGAAGTAATTGTCGTGACGATGAAATCATGGGACGTCCAAGTGGAAGGGGGGTCCCAACAAGATGAATCCGTGGAGGCTTTCACCAGTGCTCAGAAGCGGATTGCGAGTTACTTGACGGATATGAAGGAGAATGCTCAGAGAGAAGGGACACCACTCATGGCTGATGGAAAGCCCGTGTTCGTCAACGAGCAACAAGTAGAGAAATTTCTCTACACCACGTTGAAATTGAATTCAACGATATTAAGGTACTCGAGAATGGCGGCTGTCGTGCTTGTCAGTCTGCCGCCGCCCCCTGTCAACCACCCAGCATACTTTTACATGGAGTACATGGATCTGTTGGTCGAAAACGTGCCTAGGCTTTTGATGGTACGAGGATATCGTAGGGATGTTGTTACTTTGTTCACATAGTTGCTTGAGAAGCGGATAATCGGAGGTAATTGTCTAATCTCTCTTATACTTTTCTTGTTCATATCTCTTCTTTTTAATGTTTGTACGTTATATTTAGATTCATTCTTTTCACAACTACCTTGTTATAGTGAAATTTTATGTCCCGGTTGAAATTTTGGAAATTAGCTGGTCATTTTGGATCATAAACTTGTGAATTAAAACCTTCCATATTGCTAGATTGATTGAAATTTCTGTTCATTGAAGTTTTGTTTTTGCTGGTAACAGTTTCTCCTTGAGAATTAATCTAGATGGACTAAATTACTGTTTTTTTTGTAGAGCTGGATTGTGTTATGAACACATTTTATGATTTGTATGATGTGTATTTCTATGATTATGATGTGTTTTTTGTTTTAATTTTTTTTGTATTTTGGAAACAAAATAATAAAAAAATAAAAAATATTCATTGCTTTTGTCTGGTCTTTGTTTATGTGCGAAAACATTTTGTCGAAAATTCAAAACCAAGATTTTTAGAAATTTTTTATTTTTTTTTTTCTGAATATGGTTTTCAGAACAATTCGCCAAAATAAAATTTTTATAAAAATTTATTGTCTTAATATTACCCAACAAACATTCTACCTTATGAGAATATTTTACACAATTGATAATTGTTGTAAGCTCCTAAAAACCATTTACATATTAATGAATGGTGTGTGAAAATATTAGAAATAGAAAATACATTATTAAACAAAACCACATGAAAAGGTTTGAGCTCAAGTTATGGCTAGCTAGTTTTACTGCATTGTATTGATTAATTTTACGTAATGGATAGATAAAAGTCCACACATCGGATTAGGGATGCAACTTGAGTGTGCTCAAATCCCAGTAATTTGAGCTAACCTTGAAATTTTTTAGGGTTTAGAAATTTGAATGAAATTTGGATGTGCTTGAATAGAGTAACTTGAAGCCTCAATTGTATATTTAAATGTATAAATTAATAGTTGTTGGATGATGGTAAAAGAATTTAAATCGTTAGATTATATTCAATGTATATATTTTAAACTAGTAATAAAAACACAAATTTTTTTTTTTTTTTTTTTTCACTTAGAAATTGCAAAGTTTATCGTAGAGGCATATCAATTCTTCAATTCTCAAATCTCATATTATATAAATTATTTGTTTTAATGTCATTAACGATTCTATTCAAAAACAAAAAATTGTTATCGAAACATAATTTGAACAAATTAAGGTGAATTCAGGCAACTTGGGTTTAGCTCAACTCGGGCATAAACAACCGTCGGGTCAAACATGGACAAACAATCTTGGATTGTAATATAGCTTACAGCCTCTCAAATCGCCTAAGTTGATTGGAGTTTTGTACACTGAGCTGTCCAATTTTTTAAATAAATATATAGTCTATGTTAGTATCAATAAGCTGCCAAGTAACTATTAAATTATGAATATTGTATAGGCTCTCTGTCAAGAATACAGCAATAACTTCAATTTTCTCCTCCTATCCTAATCAAGGCTAAAGCAACAACTTTAAATGAGATTTTTATTTATTTTTTAATATTTTTTTTTATATTTGTGTAAAATATTTTATGTAAAATTTATTTTGCTTTCGTTTTTAGGCAACAATTTACTAATTAAATCTTTATATTAAAAATTTGCGAACACGTCAATTTTTATTAATAATTTAGCCAATTCACTTCATCTTTCTTTTGAAATAATTGATTTGAGGTCAAATTTTTTAGGTAGCATTTGGTAATGTGTACGTTTTTGGTTTATGTTTACAAAAGTTTTATAAATTAGTTTTTGTTTATTTTTAAAAAAATATAAACTACAAACGTGTTTGATTTGAACAAAATATTTGAAAAATTTTAAAAACATAAACTAAAAAATATGTTCGTTCAGGCCTAAAATATTTATATTCATTTTTTATTATTTATGAGATCATACACATTATAATTGAAAAAAATTAATTAGAAAAAAATCAATTGGGAAAAAAATTAATTGAAAAAAAAAAATTATTTGTCAAAATTTTAAATTTCTGTTTAAAAATCAATGTAAATTCATTTTTTTAGTTTATATTTTTTTCTTAAATTTATATACTGAGACAACTATTTATAAATCAAAAAAAAATTATCAAAAAAGTTTTTATAATAGTTTTTAAAATTTTTATAAATATAAACTAAAAATTAAAAATGAAATAATTACCAAACAGGATTATCATATGATTTTAAAAAATCTTCTCTTTCTTTTTTTTGAAGCAACGATCATAGGTATTGTCTCTGTGCAATACATGCATTTAGAAGAAAAAAAAATTAATTCTAATCTTCTTAATGAATCGTATGTGAATGATTAATGAAATTGTTATGTATAATAAAGTAAAATAAAATAAATATTTATTGAACAAAATCACAAATAATAAATTAATCACTACCAGGATTCTAGTGATTAATTTAAGTAATGGATAAGATAAAATGGAATGGTACATCACATATTCTCTCGAACTCCGTAATGATTGGATTTTTGTATACGTAACTGTCATTTTAGTCTTTTAATAAATATAAAGGAGAATTTACTTGTAACAAAAAATAAATAAATATAAAGTCCTTGCCATTAATTGGCATTAGTTGTCTCCATCAATAATGCAACTTAGTGTTAACAACAAGAAAGGAAAATAATTTTAATTTTCTTTTTCACCTCTCCTAATTATTTAAAATTAAAATTAATAGCGATTACGTGATCGTGTACTCTTCCTTGTTGATGTAGAATATTAGATTCTAAATATATAAATATAAAATAAAATAAAGATTTAAAGTAAAGATAGCAGTTAGCATAACGATAGCGGTTGATGTCTCTGTATTTTTCGTTTATAATTAAAAATAAAAGTAGAAAGCTATGCAAGAATAAATTGCACAAAAAAACAAAAAAGAAAAACTAGTCTCTATCTTTTTCTTCAATTGTGTTTATAATTTTTATTTTGTTTAAAAACGAAAAATATACTTAAAAGATATGAAGTTTATTTTGTTTATAGTAAAATATTATTTTAAAATAAAAGATAGATATTGGGTTGGTTTGGCAAGGGCTCATTGGGCTTTTTTGACTCAATGAGCCATAAAAGACAGAATAGGCTCATGAGCCACAACAGACAAAACATCCCATCCAACCCCATAATCATTACACTATTCTCTCACAAAAAAATCAAAAAAGCCAAAAGCTCTTCCCAAACTAAGCTTTTGAGCTCAGACTCATATAGTCAAAAAAGCCAAAAAGTCAAAAAATCAACCCACTTCCCAAACGAAAAGATATACTAAATCAAAAGATCAAAGAGAATGAAGTTTTTTAATTTAAGAATCTTCTGAAAATTCTTAAAAGATATACTAAATTAGAAGATTCTATTTGTTAGGCTTTACATCATAAGATTATATTTTTATGAGGATTAGTATATCTTTTAGAATCTTCTGATTTAGTATATCTTTTAAGAATCTATCCTCACATCATTTTCTTTGATCTCACATTAAACCAATTGCTTATATAATTGAACATTCTAATCTCACACTAAAACAAATTCTTATAAAAATAAACATTCCAATCTTACATCTCACACTTCTATGATGTGTTTGCATCTTTGATTTATGGAGAAAATGAGTAGAATTTTTTTTTAAATATGCTCTTGTTTTTTTTGTTTTTGTTTTTGTTGCTGTTGATTCAGATAGGAAAATGAGAAGAGTAGAAAATGACATATATTTGTAATTAAAAAAAAAAAAAAAATCAATTTTCGTTTACTTACCCATAATCTATTTTCTATTTTATTTTTCTTCAATAAATTCAAAATCCAAACAAAATCTTTAATTTTTAAAAGTTTCACTTCCACACCTTGCTTAGCCATCCTCAATTGTAAATTCAAACTTTGAATTTTCTAAAGTTATTTTTCAAAGTTTTGCTCTTTTTTTTTTTTTTACTTGAATTGTGTTTGCATGTTTGATTTTTATGTGGGAATCTTTTCATCTTGTTTGGCCTTGTCTTATTGGTGATTTATATGTGAATGGTTTTATTATTTTAGCATCTGTCTCTATATTCCACATACTAAACCATTTTTAAAATAACAACTTATATATCGAATAATATCATTTTTTATCCAAGAATCTTCATCACATCCAAAAAATGTTACATCTCAAACTAAAACAATTGCTTCAGGTCACATCCGAATAACATCATTTTGTTTGTATCATTCGATATCTGATTTACTGAACCGACTAATTGTGTTTTTACCAAAAAAAAAAAAAATGAACTAGAGAGAACTATAAATGTGATTTTGAAAATAAATTATCTATTTTGTTTATAAACATGCCCTAATTATGTGTTTTAATATCTGATCAATTTAAATTTTTTTATGAATAATTTTTTTAAGGAATCCTACAAAATGGATGCTACTTATCATAATAACACACAATATCCCCATGTTGAAATTCCACTACGTAATCAATAACCTTATATATATATTTTTAACCAGGTGTCTTAAATTCAATAACAATATAAAGAGTAAATTACATTGGCCTACCAAGGTTTTAAGAAAATACAGAAAGTCCCATAAATTTGATATAATTATATTGAACTCTCTTAAGGTTTTAATTCATATAACACTTAGTCCAATTTTCATCAGAAATTCTTTAGTTGTATTAATGAGAAAGTCATGTTCTTATCTCTTTTAAATTAAAATATATATTTATATTGTCTATTTTTGTCTCTTAATATTATTTACATTAATTTGATCTCTTTAAACTTATTAAAAGAATTTCAATGTCATTATTTTTTTTTTCTTTTTAAAAATGAGAATGTAATTATGATAAGAGTGTAAAAGTCATTATTGAGCCACTATCAGTGAAATTGGTGTCTTTCTCACTATAATTTTGATGGAATTAATGGTATGAATACAAGTCAGAAGATAGAGTGAGGGATTTTCTCACCCTTTTTTGTTTTTTTCCTCTCTATCGTAAAGTTTTGGTTGAAAAAAACTGCTCTATGGGAAGGGTGAACACATACCAAGTTTTTCCACTGAATATAATAGGTCCGAAAAATAAACACCTCCCCACATTGAAAGTCAATGCATTATCTCTTTGAAGTCAATTTGATTACCAATGCTGTTTTTATTTATTCATTTATTTATTTATTTGTGTCTCATCTCGTTGCCATCACTTATAGACTATGTTTGAAGTATAAATTTAAATAGGGTTTAGAAAAAAAAAAGATTATAATTAAAATATAAATAAAATATAATTATATTTTATATATTTTATTCTTTTTTTTTTAAAATATTTCTATTCAAATTCATACTTCAAATCCAGTCT